ATGTTATTTAGGGGATAATTTAGGCGGAGTGACTCATAGTGAACCCCCCCCCCCCCGGAAAAATGGGATTTAGGAGGAAAAATTTAGGTGTGGAAATCACCATAGTGACCCGGGGAGGGAAAGTTATTTAGGAGGAGAATGAGGCGTTTAGTGACACTTTGTGACCCGGAGAAAGTTAAATTTGGAGGGAATTGGTGTGGTGACACTTTGGGGGCCTGGAGAAAGTTATTTAGGGGGGATAAAGAGGCGTGAGTGATCTAGTGACCTGGGAATTTTTTTTAGGAGGATAATGGGCCGGGGAGTGGAAATATAGTGACCTGGAAAGGGTTTTTTAGGAGGATAAAAGAGGTGTGAGTGCTCATAGTGACCCGGAGAATGTTTTTAGGGGGAGAAGAGGGGTGAGGAACATAGTGACCTGGAGAATGTTTTTTAGGGGGGAAAAATGAGGTGTTTAGTGGGCCCCATTTGACCTGGAGAAAGTTATTTAGGAGGATAAAATGAGGTTTTTGAGTGACTAAAAGTGACCCGGAGAAGTTATTTAGGAGGAGGAAAGAGGCGTGAAATGAACTAGGAAAACCGGAGGGAAGGGTTTTTTAGGGGGGAGAAAGAGGTGTGAGTGACTAAAAGTGACCTGGAGAATGTTTTTTTGGGGGTTTAAAGAGGCGTGAGTGACAATAGTGACCGGGGGAATTTTTATTTAGGAGGGAAAAATGAGGTTTTGAGTGACTCTTGTGACCTGGAGAATGTTATTTAGGAGGATAAAAAGGGTGTGGTTTACCCTTTGTGACCTGGGAATGTTTTTTAGGGGGATAATGAAGTGTGAGTGACACTTTGTGACCTGGGGGAATGTTATTTAGGAGGATAATTTAGGTGTGAGTGGGCTCATAGTGACCCGGAGAATGGGTTTTTGGAGGATAAAGGGGTGTGAGTTTATCATAGTGAACCCCCCCCCGGGAATGTTATTTTTGGAGGAGAATGAGGTGTGCCATGTGGGCCTGGGAAAGTTATTTAGGAGGATAATGAGGTGTGAGTGGCTCTAGTGCCTGGAGAAAGTTATTTTGGAGGGAGAATGAGGGGTGACTAATTTGTGCCTGGAGAATGTTATTTTGGAGGATAATTTAGGCCGGATCATTGTGACCCGGAGAAAGTTTTTTTGGAGGAGAATTTTGGGGGTGAGTGGGGCACATAGTGACTGGGGAATGTTTTTTAGGAGGAGAATGAGGTGTGAGTGGCTCATAGTGACCGGAGAATGTTATTTAGGAGGATTAAAGAGGGGGTGGGGACCCCAAAAAGTGACTGGAGAATGTTATTTTGGAGGGGTAATGAGGGGGTGAGGGGAACATAGTGACCTGGAGAATGTTATTTAGGAGGGGAAAGAGGGGTGAGTCCAAATAATGACCCGGAGAATGTTTTTTAAAGGGGGAGAAGAGGCCCTGGGGTAAAAACCCTAGTGCCGGAGAATGTTATTTAGGGGAGAATGAGGTGGGTGGGAAACAATTGGGCCTGGAGAATGTTATTTAGGAGGAAGGGGAAAGAGGGGTGGTGACACCCTAGTGGGCCCGGGGAATTTTAAATTTTGGGGAGGGAAAGAGGTGTGAGTACACCCTAGTGACCCGGGAATGTTTTTTGGAGGATAAATGGGTTTAGTGACCCCATAGTGACCTTTGGGGAAAAGTTATTTAGGAGGGGAATTTAGGTTTTGAGTGACACATAGTTACCCGGAGAATTTTTATTTTGGAGGGGGAATGAAGGGGTGAGTTACTCATAGTTTAACCCGGGAATGTTATTTAGGAGGAGAATGAGGGGTGAGTCCCACATAAGGGGAAATGGAGAATGTTATTTAGGGGGAAAGAGGGTGAGTGACCAAAATAGTGACCCGGAGAATGTTATTTTGGGGGAGAATGAGGCGTGAGCACTCATAGTGACCCGGAGAATGTTATTTAGGGGGGGTTTAAAGAGGCGTGAGTGACTCATAGTGGGCCTGGAGAATGTAAATTTTGGAGGGAAATGAAGGGCGTGAGTTAACATAGTGACCTGGAGATGTTATTTTGGAGGAGGGTGGGCGTGGTGACACATAGTGACCTGGAGAATTTTTAAATTTGGAGGATAAGGGGGTTGTGAGTGGGCACTAGTGACCTTAAAAAGGTTATTTTGGGGGATAAAGAGGTGTGAGTGGGCAAAAAGTGACCCGGAGAATGTTATTTAGGGGAGAATGAGGCGTGAGTGATTTATTGTGACCTGGGAATGGTTTTTTTAGGGGGGAGAAAGGGGTTGGGAAAATAGTGACCTGGAGAATGTTATTTTGGAGGATAATGAGGTGTGATTTATAGTGACCTGGAGGGAAAGTTATTTTTGGGGATAAAAGAGGCTTTAGTGATCATAGTGACCGGAGAATTTTTATTTAGGAGGAGAAAGGGTGTGACTCATAGTGACCCGGGAATGTTATTTTGGGGATAAAGAGGCGGGGAGTGACACATAGTGACCCGGAAATGTTATTTAGGAGGGGAATGAGGTGTGGTGACACATAGTGGGCCCGGAGAAAGTTATTTTGGAGGAGAATGAGGTGTGAGTGGCTATAGTGACCCCCGGAGAAGTTATTTAGGAGGTAATGAGGGGCCCTTTAGTGAACTTAGGGGAAAAAAAAAAAAAAAAAAAAACCAAAAAAAAATTTAAATTTTAAAAAAAAAAATAAAAAAAAGGGCCCGGGGGGGGGAAAAAGTTTTTTTTGGGGGGAAATGAGGGTGAGTGACCCATAATTTACCTGGAAAAATGTTTTTTAGGAGGTTTTAAAGAAGGGGGGGCGTAGGACCATAGTGCCCGGAGAATGGGTTTTTTAGGAGGAAATGAGGGTTTAAATGGGCCTTTGTGGGCCTGGAGAATGTTATTTGGAGGATAATGAGGCCTGAGTAACCCTAGGACCTGGGAAAAAATGTTATTTAGGAGGATAATGGGGGCGTGATTCCCTAGTGACCCGGAGAATGTTTTTTAGGGGTAATGGGCGGTTAAAACCCTAGTGAACCCGGAGAAAGCTTTTTTAGGGGGGAATATAATGAGGCGGGGACCATTGGACCGGAGAATGTTTTTAGGGGGAAATGGGGGGGTGACCTTTGGGACCTTAAAAAGGGTTTTTTAGGAGGAAATTGAGGGTGAGTACACATAGTGCCTGGGAGAATGTTATTTAGGGGAGAAGAGGTGTAGTACAATTGTTGGGCCCGGGGAATTATTTAAAGGAGGGGAATTTAGGTGTGAGGGGACCCCAAAAGTGACCTGGAGAATGTTATTTTGGAGGGAAAGGGTGGGTACACATAGTGACCCGGAGAATTTATTTTGGGGAGAAAGAGGTGGGGGTGGGCAATTTGTTGGGCCCGGAGGGAAAGTTATTTAGGGAGAATGAGGTTTTGTGTTGGCACATAGTTTACCTGGGAAGTTAATTTTTATTTAGGCAAGAGGGGTGAGGGGGTTTTTTGGGGCATTTTGTGACCTTTGGGGGGAAATTTTTTAAAAAAGAAAGGGGGTGTGTTTTGGGCCCCAAATTCCCGGAATGTTCTTTTGTTGGGACCCCCTGTTGCCAAAGGGCGCCCAGACCCCCCGCCTTTTTGGGGGGCTTGCCCCAACATGGCGAAAAAGTGCCCTTGGGGGAAAGGATTTTTTTTAAAACGGGAAGGTTGGGAGGTTTTGATTTGGGACCAAACACCCCCTGGGTTGTTTTTCGAAAACCAAAGGGAAACCCGGGAGGTTTAGAAATTTTACCCTCGTCTTTTGGGTAACTGTTTTTCAAGGTGGAGGGTGTTTTCTTACTTCATTTTTTGGGATTGGGCCAAGAAGGCCCGGGGGGAAATTTTGATTAAAAATTAAACCCCAAAAATTTTGGTTTCGTTTTTTCCCAAAGGGAAACCCAAAGGGAAATCCCCGGGGGGAAAGTTTGGGTTTTAAAAATTAAATTTTTGGTTAAACAGTTCTTATTTTTCAAACTAGGGACGATTAAACAAAATTTCCCTTTCCCCTTTTTGAAGGTGAGGGGGTTGTTGGGGGGTTTTAGAAATTGAACCAAAAACCCTTGCCCCCAAATGTCCCTTTGGGTTTTTAAAAGGTGGGCCCCGGGAAAATCCCCCCTTCGGCTTAGGCGTTATTAATAAAAATTATTTTTTTTAGGCCAATGATTAAAGGTTTTCAATTTTCCAAAAATCTTTTTCCCCGGGGGGAAATTTTTTCCCGGGGGGGGGAACCATACCAACCCCACCAAACCCCGCAGGGGGGAAAAAGGGTGAGGGAAACGTGTGTAGTTTTTGTGGCCAAGTTTTTGGGGGGGTTTCCCCGGAAACGGGTTTTTGGGGGTTAGCTGCGAGGGGGGAAAAATTTTCCCCCTTTTTTTACTGTTTAAAAAATGTATTAATAAATTTAACCAAAAGTGGAGAAAATTTTGGGGTTTCAAGGAGGAAAGTTTTTAACCAGGGCTTTTCCCCAAAGGGGAAAACCCGAAAAAAAAGGAAATGAGGAATGAACCTTTGTGGGGTTAGTCCTAAAATTTGGGAGGGCCCGGGTTGAATTTGGGGAAAAGTTTTCTCCCGAGGGGGGTTTTTTTAAATTTTAGGAAACCCCCATAAAAAGTTTTTTTGGGGGTGTTTAAAATTTTAACTTAGTTTAACAATTTTTGGAAAAAGGGAAACCTATTTGGGGGTTTTTTATTTGGAAACTTTTGGCCCCCAAGGGGGCTTCATCATACCTTTTTAAAAAGGGAGAAAAAATTTTGGAAAACAAGGAAAATGAGGATTCAGTCCCTTTTTAAACCGGTCTGGTTTCCCGGAATAACCCTTTAGGGGAGAAAGGGCCTGTTTTTTGGCCCAAGTTGGCGGAAAATTTCCCAATTTGAAAAAAAGGAGTTGCCAGGGGGGTGGGTTTTTTATTAACCCATGTCGGGTTTTTGGGCAAAACGTCTGAGGCGTTATAATATAAGTATTTCTGACTCATCTAGTGACTCAGTGATTCATCTAGTGACTCACCTTAACAAGACTCACCTGGTGACCATTTATGTGCCAGGTGAGGGTAGTGGGAGGGTACGAGAAGGGTGAGGAACAGTTGACTAGTAGTAAGTGGCCCACGGTATAGGGCCCCTGGACCCCGGTCAAGCTGGGCCCACTCTCAGGCTTAGCTGTCAGATATGGGTAATAATATCATTTTTATACTCGCCATTAAAGATTAAAGATATTTCAGGATGACAGAATGCCTATACCAAGATGGATGACATTTAGGTATTAACAGGCAGGAAGCCTGTTAATACCTAGGGCATTTCAGCCGGTTTTAAACCTGTCTTTAGATTAATAAGGCAGTGACTGAATGCTTGTGTGTAGTCTATATGTACGGTCCTGGATATGTATTAAAGGGAACGTTTCTCCCCGAGCGGGTTTTTTGGGAGTAATGAAACTGCGAGGGGTGAAAAGTTTTGCCCTGGGGTGTTGATCAGTGTTATTACATGTAGTTAATAAATTAGACACATGTGCAACTCTTGGGTATCTTTATTGAGGAAACGTTTCGCCACACAGTGGCTTCATCAGTCCATACATAGGAGAAACTTGAAGAACAGGAGGAGAATGAGGTAATCAGTCCCTCAACCTTGAGTCGATGTGTTCAGTCCATCAATCTTGAGTAGAATGGACTGATGAAGCCACTGTGTGGCGAAACGTTTCCTCAATAAAGATACCCAAGAGTTGCACATGTGTCTAATTTATCAACATGTCGGTTCTCTGAACCATTCACCTACATACATGTAGTTAATATTTGAGGGAGTAGTTAATTATTCTAGGACTAAGGTTAGCCAGTTTTGTCAGGAAACAGGACAAGTGCTTCCTGACGTGGGTGTTATATGATGGCCCAACAGGCTTTTGGTCATCTAATGGAGGACTTCTACTGGCTTACCCCTCCACCTCTTTGTAAATTACGGTTGCAAGTACATCCATTTGCACATACAAGTTGAAACTAGTGAGGACTTCTCAGTCGGACTTTTAGAACGGTCTGGTGACAGGAACTAACCTATGACGGTGATGTTAGAGTCCATGGTGTCTTGTTCAAAGTTAGGCGAGTCACCCAGGACTTCGCAGCGCAGCTTCCCCGAGGCGCGGTGGTCTACCTGTGATAGTGTCACCTGATGTAGGCTGGAGATTCTCTCCTGTAGGAGAAAGAAGATTCTCTCTCTCTCTCTCTCTCTCTCTCTCGCTCGCACATACGCACAAAATAACCACAGGGGGAGATAGCTCTAGGCCTTTCGTGTTGCAATCACATTCTCAGGAGCTTGCAGATTCGTTCAGGGAAACGAATTGCCGGGACTTACTTCTCATTTCTTCAAGGTGATGTATTGATGGTAACAAGAAAGGTCCAGAACTATCAGTTAACCCATCCTATGGTTATTTTGTATCTTTTATCGCTCGTTCGCAGTTATTACACACGAGGTATGATAAAGCTCACTGAGCAGGGAGTGACCTAGCAGTGACCAGTGAAGTGGCAGGGCCAAGAGCTATGAATCGACCACAATTAGGTGAGTACACACACACACACACACACACACATAGTGACAGAGTAGTCAGTAAGTGGAATAGTTTGGGAAGCGATGTAGTGGAAGCAGGATCCATACATAGCTTTAAGCAGAGATATGATAAAGCTCACGGCTCAGGGAGAGTGACCTAGTAGCGACCAGTGAAGAGGCGGGACCAGGAGCTTGGACTCGACCCCTGCAACCTCAACTAGGTGAGTACACACACACACATATACACACTTCTATGAGAAGTGGTGACCTTGGGAAAAGAATAATTGAGATAGCAGGAACTCTACTGGAGATGTCAGGACTCACATCAACAGTGATGCCAGGTAGAGGGAAGACAGCACCTGGTGGGCTGCTCTTGGGAATAAATCTGTAGAAGATCTTGTCGTCTTTCCACCAGGTGAGAGAGTAGAGTGTGTCGCCATCAAGTCTGAAGGAGCACGACAGGTGGACACGCTCCCCAGTGAGGACGAGTCTAGGAGCTTTAATGCCAGTGATCTGTAAGCAGCATCCCGCTCCACCTGAGATGGAAAGGTAGATGTGAGTGATGCTGTGCTGTTGATACTGCTGCTACTGCTACTGTTGCTACTGCTGCTACTGCTGCTACTGCTACTGTTGCTACTGCTGCTACTGTTGCTACTGCTGCTACTGCTACTGTTGCTACTGCTACTGTTGCTACTGCTGTTGTTGCTACTGCTGCTACTGCTACTGCTGCTACTGCTACTGTTGCTACTGCTGCTGTTGCTACTGCTGTTGTTGCTACTGTTGCTGCTGTTGCTACTGCTGCCGTTGCTACTGCTGCTGTTGCTACTGCTGTTGTTGCTACTGCTGTTGTTGCTACTGCTGTTTTTTCTACTGCTGTTGTTGCTACTGCTGCTACTGCTACTGTTGCTACTGCTGCTGCTACTGTTGCTACTTCTGCTACTGCTACTGTTGCTACTGCTGCTACTGTTGCTACTGCTTCTATTGCTACTGCTGCTGTTGCTGTAGTTGCTGCTGTTGCTACTGCTGCTGTTACTGCTGCCATTGCTACTGCTGCTGTTGCAACTACTGCCGTTGCTACTACTGTTGCTACTAGTGCTGCTACTGATGCTACTGCTACTAGTATTGCTACTGATGCTACTAGTACTGCTCTTACTGCTGCTGCTTCTAGTGTTGCTGATGCTACTAGTGCTGCTACTGCTAGTAGTACTGCTACTGCTACTAGTTCTGCTACTGCTACTTGTACTGTTGCTGCTACTAGCATTGCTGCTTAGTGGGTTACCATTAACTCTATGATAAGCGAGAATACTGCAAGTGTATCAGTTACTGTGCCTCTCTCTCTCTCTCTCTCTCTCTCTCTCTCTCTCTCTCTCTCTCTCAAGAAAGTCTAGAAGACACACGGAGAGAGAGAGAGAGCAAGAAAATCTAGAAAAAAGAAACGACTGAGTAAAATGTGCATTAATTAGCAATATCTTGCTTAACAAAGCTCCTTTAGGGCGAAACGTTGCCTCAGTAAAATGCCACACAAGTTACACTTGTGTCAACAAACACAGTGCAGAAACAGACTGTTTTTGTCCTGCCTCTTACGACATCACTACTGATAATGTCAGGTGGAGAGGTCGAAATCTACGTTTCGCCCGTGTGCGGGTTTTTTTGTCCCGTAGCTGGGTTGGTAGAGTACTCTGCTCACACGCTGAGGTCCGTGGTTCGACCCCCGGTATGGTTGGAAATATTAGGATGTATTTTCTTAGGTGTACATGTACAAGGTATACCAGTACATGTACAAGGTATACCAGTACATGTACAAGGTATACCAGTACATGTACAAGGTATACCAGTACATGTACAAGGTATACCAGTACATGTACAAGGTATACCAGTACATGTACAAGGTATACCAGTACATGTACAAGGTATACCAGTACATGTACAAGGTATACCAGTACATGTACAAGGTATACAAGTACATGTACAAGGTATACCAGTACATGTACAAGGTATACCAGTACATGTACAAGGTATACCAGTACATGTACAAGGTATACAAGTACATGTACAAGGTATACCAGTACATGTACAAGGTATACCAGTACATGTACAAGGTATGCCAGTACATGTACAAGGTATACCAGTACATGTACAAGGTATACCAGTACATGTACAAGGTATACCAGTACATGTACAAGGTATACCAGTACATGTACAAGTATACCAGTACATGTACAAGGTATACCAGTACATGTACAAGGTATACCAGTACATGTACAAGGTATACCAGTACATGTACAAGGTATACCAGTACATGTACAAGGTATACCAGTACATGTACAAGGTATACCAGTACATGTACAAGGTATACCAGTACATGTACAAGGTATACCAGTACATGTACAAGGTATACCAGTACATGTACAAGGTATACAAGTACATGTACAAGGTATACCAGTACATGTACAAGGTATACCAGTACATGTACAAGGTATGCCAGTACATGTACAAGGTATACCAGTACATGTACAAGGTATACCAGTACATGTACAAGGTATACCAGTACATGTACAAGGTATACCAGTACATGTACAAGGTATACCAGTACATGTACAAGGTATACCAGTACATGTACAAGGTATACCAGTACATATACAAGGTATACAAGTACATGTACAAGGTATACAAGTACATGTACAAGGTATATCAGTACATGTACAAGGTATACAGACCATAGCTGACATCAGTGACATACTGCTATATAGAAAGTCCCTTGTTATGCTGAGCATTTCCCGTAAATTATGTCAGTTTTGTCCCAGGATGTGACCCACACCAGTCCACTAACACCCAGGATGTGACCCACACCAGTCCACTAACACCCAGGATGTGACCCCACACCAGTCCACTAACACCCAGGATGTGACCCACACCAGTCCACTAACACCCAGGATGTGACCCACACCAGTCCACTAACACCCAGGATGTGACCCACGCCAGTCCACTAACACCCAGGATGTGACCCACACCAGTCCACTAACACCAGGATGTGACCCACACCAGTCCACTAACACCCAGGATGTGACCCACACCAGTCCACTAACACCCAGGATGTGACCCACACCAGTCCACTAACACCCAGGATGTGACCCACACCAGTCCACTAACACCCAGGATGTGACCCACACCAGTCCACTAACACCCAGGATGCCACCCACCAGTCCACTAACACCCAGGATGCCACCCACACCAGTCCACTAACACCCAGGATGTGACCCACACCAGTCAACTAACACCCAGGATGTAACCCACACCAGTCCACTAACACCCAGGATGCCACCCACACCAGTCCACTAACACCCAGGATGTGACCCACACCAGTCCACTAACACCCAGGATGTGACCCACACCAGTCCACTAACACCCAGGATGTGACCCTCACCAGTCCACTAACACCCAGGATGTGACCCACACCAGTCCACTAACACCCAGGATGTGACCCACACCAGTCCACTAACACCCAGGTACCTACTTACTGCTAGGTGAACAGTGACAGCAGGTGTAAGGTGAATAACACCCAGGTACCTACTTAATGCTAGGTGAACAGTGACAGCAGGTGTAAAGTAACTAACACCCAGGTACCTACTTAATGCTAGGTGAACAGTGACAGCAGTTGCCTTCAGTAAACACGCCCCAATGTTTCCACCCATACCAGGGATCGAACCACGCACCTCAGGGTGTGAGGTAAGTGCGCTACCAACCCAGCTACGGGACTTTAAATACAAAAAAATGGATTACGTAGAAGTGCACTAATTGATAATTAGTAATTAGGATAGGTCTATAGGGTGTCGTGGCCTGCCTAGCAGAATAGGCTGTGTCGTGCTTATAGGAACATCAGGCCTCTAATGACCCATACAGGCTTAGTGCTTCATATAATTAATAAAACACTGTCTTAATAATCTAATAATTATATTAATTATTACATCTTATAATAATTACATTATTAGAGCGGGTTGATGGGGCAGGATTGAAGGGGTAACTCTGGCATAATAGAGTGGGTTGATGGGGCAGGATTGAATGGGTAACTGGCATAATAGAGCAGGTTGATGGGGCAGGATTGAAGGGGTAACTCTGGCATAATAGAGCGGGTTGATGGGGCAGGATTGAAGGGGTAACTCTGGCATAATAGAGCGGGTTGATGGGGCAGGATTGAAGGGGTAACTCTGGCATATTAGAGCAGGTTGATGGGGCAGGATTGAAGGGGTAACTCTGGCATATTAGACCAGGTTGATGGGGCAGGATTGAAGGGGTAACTGGCATATTAGAGCAGGTTGATGGGGCAGGATTGAAGGGGTAACTGGCATATTAGAGCAGGTTGATGGGGCAGGATTGAAGGGGTAACTCTGGCATAATAGAGCAGGTTGATGGGGCAGGATTGAAGGGGTAACTGGCATAATAGAGCGGGTTGATGGGGCAGGATTGAAGGGGTAACTGGCATATTAGAGCAGGTTGATGGGGCAGGATTGAAGGGGTAACTGGTATATTAGAGCAGGTTGATGTGCAGGATTGAAGGGGTAAGTGGCATATTAGAGCAGGTTGATGGGGCAGGATTGAAGGGGTAACTCTGGCATAATAGAGCGGGTTGATGGGGGCAGGATTGAAGGGGTAACTGGCATATTAGAGCGGGTTGGTGGGGCAGGATTGAAGGGGTAACTCTGGCATAGTAGAGCGGGTTGATGGGGCAGGATTAAAGGGGTAACTGGCACAATAGAGCGGGTTGATGGGGCAGGATTGAAGGGGTAACTCTGGCATAATAGAGCGGGTTGATGGGGCAGGATTGAAGGGGTAACTCTGGCATATTAGAGCAGATTGATGGGGCAGGATTGAAGGGGTAACTCTGGCATATTAGAGCAGGTTGATGGGGCAGGATTGAAGGGGTAACTCGCATATTAGATCAGGTTGATGGGGCAGGATTGAAGGGGTAACTCTGGTATATTAGAGCAGGTTGATAAGGCAGGATTGTAGGGGTAACTCTGACATATTAGAGCAGGTTGATGGGGGCAGGATTGAAGGGGTAACTCTGGCATAATAGAGCACTTTGATGGATCAGGATTGAAGGGGTAACTGGCATAATAGAGCAGGTTGATGGGGCAGGATTGAAGGGGTAACTGGCATATTAGAGCAGGTTGATGGGGCAGGATTGAAGGGGTAACTGGTATATTAGAGCAGGTTGATGGTGCAGGATTGAAGGGGTAACTGGCATAATAGAGGAAGTTGATAGGGCAGGATTGAAGGGGTAACTGGCGTAATAGAGCAGGTTGATGGGGCAGGATTGAAGGGGTAACTCTGGCATATTAGAGCAGGTTGATGGAGCAGGATTGAAGGGGTAAGTCTGGCATATTAGAGCAGGTTGATGGGCACGATTGTAGGGGAAACTGGCATAATAGAGCAGGTTGATAGGGCAGGATTGAAGGGGTAACTGGAATATTAGAGCAGGTTGATGGGGCAGGATTGAAGGGGTAACTGGCATAATAGAGAAGGTTGATGGAGCAGGATTGAATGGGTAACTGGCATAATAGAGAAGGTTGATGGAGCAGGATTGAAGGGGTAACTGGCATAATAGAGCAGGTTGATGGTGCAGGATTGAATTGGTAACTGGCATATTAGAGCAGATTGATGGGGTAGGATTGAAGGGGTAACTGGCATAATAGAGCAAGTTGATGGGGCAGGATTGAAGGGGTAACTGGCATAATAGAGCAGGTTGATGGGGCAGGATTGAAGGGGTAACTCTGACATAATAGAGAAGGTTGATGGTGCAGGATTGAAGGGGTAACTGGCATAATAGAGCAGGTTGATGGGGCAAGATTGAAGGGGTAACTCTGGCATAATAGAGCAGGTTGATGGGGCAAGATTGAAGGGGTAACTGGCATATTAGAGCAGGTTGATGGGGCAGGATTGAAGGGGTAACTGGAATAATAGAGCAGGTTGATGGGGCAGGATTGAAATGGTAACTCTGGCATAATAGAGCAGGTTGATGGGGCAGGATTGAAGGGGCAACTGGCATGGTAGAGCTGGTTGATGGGGCAGGATTGAAGGGGTAACTCTCGCATAATAGAGCAGGTTGATGGGGCAGGATTGAAGGGGTAATTGACATACTAGAGCAGGTTGATGGGGCAGGATTGAAGGGGTAACTGGTATAATAGAGCAAGTTGATGGGGCAGGATTGAAGGGGTAACTGGCATAATAGAGCAGGTTGATGGGGCAGGATTGAAGGGGTAACTCTGGCATAATAGAGCTGGGTGATGGGGTAGGTTTGAAGGGGTAACTGGCATAACAGAGCAGGTTGATGGGGCAGGATTGAAAGGGTAGCTCTGGCATAATAGAGCAGGTTGATGGGGCAGGATTGAAGGGGTAACTGGCATTATAGAGCCGGTTGATGGGGTAGGATTGAAGGGGTAACTGGCATATTAGAGAAGGTTGGTGGGACAGGATTGAAGGGGTAACTCTGGCATATTAGAGCAGGTTGATGAGGCAGGATTGTAGAGGTAACTCTGGCATAATAGAGCAGGTTGATGGGGCACTATTGAAGGGGTAACGCTGGCATAATAGAGCAGGTTGATGGGGCAGAATTGAAGGGGTAACTGGCATAATAGAGCAGGTTGATGGGGCAGGATTGAAGGGGTAACTCTGGCATATTAGAGCAGGTTGATGGGCACGATTGTAGGGGAAACTGGCATAATAGAGCAGGTTGATAGGGCAGGATTGAAGGGGTAACTGGAATATTAGAGCAGGTTGATGGGGCGGGATTGAAGGGGTAACTGGCATATTAGAGCAGGTTGATGGGGCAGGATTGAAGGTAACTGGCATAATAGAGCAAGTTGATGGGGCAGGATTGAAGGGGTAACTGGTATATGAGAGCAGGTTGATGGGGCAGGATTGAAGGGGTAACTGGCATAATGGAGCAAGTTGATAGGGCAGGATTGAATGGGTAACTCTGGCACTATAGAGCAGGTTGATGGGGCAGGATTGAAGGGGTAACTGGCATATTAGAGCAGGTTGATGGGGCAGGATTGAAGTGGTAACTCTGGCATAATAGAGCAGGTTGATGGGGCAGGATTGAAGGGGTAACTGGCATAATAGAGCAGGTTGATGGGGCAGGATTGAAGGGGTAACTCTGGAATATTAGAACAGGTTGATGGGGCAGGATTGAAGGTAACTGGCACAATAGAGCAGGTTGATGGAGCAGGATTGAAGGGGTAACTCTCTCATATTAGAGAAGGTTGATGGAGCAGGATTGAAGGGGTAACTGGCATAATAGAGAAGGTTGATGGGGCAAGATTGAAGGGGTAACTCTGGCATAATAGAGAAGGTTGATGGAGCAGGATTGAAGGGGCAACTGGCATAATAGAGCAGGTTGATGGGGTAGGATTGAAGGGGTAACTGGCATATTAGAGCAGATTGATGGTGCAGGATTGTAGGGGCAACTGGCATAATAGAGCAAATTGATGGGGCAGGATTGAAGGGGTAACTGGCATAATAGAGCAGGTTGATGGGGCAGGATTGAAGAGGTAACTCTGACATAATAGAGAAGGTTGATGGCGCAGGATTGAAGGGGTAACTCTGGCATAATAGAGCAGGTTGATGGGGCAGGATTGAAATGGTAACTCTTGCATAATAGAGCAGGTTGATGGGGCAGGATTGAAGGGGTAACTGGCATAATAGAGCAGGTTGATGGGGCAGGATTGAAGGGGTAACTGGCATATTAGAGCAGGTTGATGGGGCAGGATTGAAGGGGTAACTGGCATGTTAGAGCAGATTGATGGGGCAGGATTGAAGGGGCAACTGGCATAATAGAGCAGGTTGATGGGGCAGGATTGAAATGGTAACTCTGGCATAATAGAGCAGGTTGATGGGGCAGGATTGAAGGGGCAACTGGCATAGTAGAGCTGGTTGATGGGGCAGGATTGAAGGGGTAACTCTCGCATAATAGAGCAGGTTGATGGGGCAGGATTGAAGGGGTAATTGGCATATTAGGGCAGGTTGATGGGACAGGATTGAAGGGGTAACTCTGGCATAATAGAGCAGGTTGATGGGGCAGGATTGAAGGGGTAACTCTGGCATAACAGAGCAGGTTGATGGGACAGGATTGAAGGGGTAACTGGCATAATAGAGCAGGTTGATGGGACAGGATTGAAGGGGTAACTCTGGCATAATAGAGCAGGTTGATGGGGCAGGATTGAAAGGATAACTCTGGCATAATAGAGCAGGTTGATGGGGCAGGATTGAAGGGGTAACTGGCATTATAGAGCCGGTTGATGGGTAGGATTGAAGGGGTAACTGGCATATTGGAGCAGGTTGATGGGGCAGGATTGAAGGGGTAACTTTGGCATATTAGAGCAGGTTGATGGGGCAGGATTGAAGGGGTAACTGGCATATTAGAGCAGGTTGATGACGCAGGATTGTAGGGGTAACTCTGGCATAATAGAGCAGGTTGATGGGGCACTATTGAAGGGGTAACTCTGGCATAATAGAGCAGGTTGATGGGGCAGGATTGAAGGGGTAACTGGCATAATAGAGCAGGTTCATGGGGCAGGATTGAAGGGGTAACTGGCATATTAGAGCAGGTTGATGGGCACGATTGCAGGGGAAACTGGCATAATAGAGCAGGTTGATAGGGCAGGATTGAAGGGGTAACTCTGGAATATTAGAGCAGGTTGATGGGGCAGGATTGAAGGGGTAACTGACATATTAGAGCAGGTTGATGGGGCAGGATTGAAGGTAACTGGGATAATAGAACAAGTTGATGGGGCAGGATTGAAGGGGTAACTCTGGTATATGAGAGCAGGTTGATGGGGCAGGATTGAAGGGGTAACTGGCATAATAGAGCAAGTTGATAGGGCAGGATTGAATGGGTAAGTCTGGCACTATAGAGCAGGTTGATGGGGCAGGATTGAAGGGGTAACTGGCATATTAGAGCAGGTTGATAGGGCAGGATTGAAGGGGTAACTCTGGTATATTAGAGCAGGTTGATGGAGCAGGATTGAAGGGGTAACTCTGGAATATTAGAGCAGGTTGATAGGGCCGGATTGAAGGGGTAACTGGCATATTAGAGCAGGTTGATGGGGCAGGATTGAAGGGGTAACTGGCATATTAGAGCAGGTTGATGGGGCAAGATTGAATGGGCAACTGGCATAATAGAGCAGGTTGATGGGGCAGGATTGACGGGGTAACTCTGGCATAATAGAGAAGGTTGATGGGGCAGGATTGAAGGGGTAACTGGCATAATAGAGCAGGTTGATGGGGCAGGATTGAAGGGGTAACTCTTGCATATTAGAGCAGGTTGATGTGGCGGGAGAGCAGGGCTAACTGTGACATATATCCTTAGCTAATGCATATACATCGCCACTATTATGAGCGTCTTAACCCTGACGAAGCACTCCCTTACATATTAACATAAGCTGCTTACTTCACCCTCTCGAAGGAAGGCTCTTGATTTTAGTGACGGGGTCTTGATACAAGAAATCTAAGGTACTAATCATTTGAGTCAGTCGTGATCACCTCCCTGTGTTCTGATGTGTGATTCCTTGGTGCTTAACCAGCAATGGTTTTCCACTGTGTGTTGGTGTACCAGCAGTGTTGAGAGAGGTGTTCGTTGTGTGTGTTGGTGTACCAGCAGTGTTGAGAGAGGTCTTCAGTGTGTGTTGGTGTACCAGCAGTGCTGAGAGAGATGTTCAGTGTGTGTTGGTGTACCAGCAGTGTTGAGAGAGGTCTTCAGTGTGTGTTGGTGTACCAGCATGCTAGAGAGAGTTCAGTGGTGTTGGGTACCACGGGTTTTTGAGAGAGTGTTCAGTGTGGGTGTTGGTGTACCACAGTGTTGAGAGAGGTTCTGGTTGGGTGTACCAGCAGTGTTGAGAGAGGTGTTCAGTTGTGTTGGTGTACACATGTTGAAGAGGTGTTCGTGTGTTTTGGGTGTACCACAGTGTTGGAGGGGTGTTTCGTG